GAGAGAGAGAGAGAGAGAGAAAGAGAGATGAGAGTGAGACGCAGTGGGAGAGATCAGAGTAAGAGGGAGAGAGAGAGGGGGAGAGAAAATAAATATATAGAGAGAAGAAGAAATAGAGACAGGGAGTGAGAGAGACAGAAAAAGAGAGAGGGAGAGGGAGAGTAAGTCAGAAAAGTTTTATGACCAAAACAACATGCCAACTACCCAACAATAGCTCAATAGCGAATGCTAGTTTCAGTAAGAACTAGACTAATTTCATATGCATAAGAAGAAAATAGAGCGTATTGTATTCATAATTAAAAGATTTATGCATGAAATGATAGTCTTATCCTTGAAAACAAAGATGTATAAGACACATTCTTTTGATAGTTATGAAACGAAAAATTACTGTATACATTATAACAAGTTTATGAAAATTTGATTGTGTGCAACCCCTATGATATTTGTAGCCCCAGACTCAAGAGAAACGTCTCATATCTATTTATATCCAGAATGGTACGAGTCGGATTTTGTTATTCATATTACTGTTCTAGAATTGCTTCCTTCTAACTAGTTTCATAAAGACATTCCTATAATTTCAATAAAGCCAAGGAAGACCTTATTGAGAATGAAGGTTATGCTTTAAATCATATTGGCCATTCAACCAATGTTTAAAGCACCATTAGGTGCAAACATGTACATCAACGAAATTCTCGTTGAACAGACGTTTACATTTATATTTTGACCAGGCTCCTGTCGTAAGAAATATTGTTGTAATATGATACATTGTATAATGATAAATTAGCGGTATTGTGTATTGTATTGAGAAAGTGGTCAAGAGGGTAGAAGCTTACCCGATAGTGCTGACGCAGTTCTCATCAAACTTTCCTTTGACGAATCGTGTGGTTATACAGGTTTTCCCTACACAGGTAGTCTATAATAAATGACATGAAAGTATACACACATCATCATCATGATTGTGGTAAGGAAGGGTAGGGCTCCAAGAATCTTGAGAAAGGGAATTGTGGAGCGAAACGGCAGTATAGGCGTCTTTAAGAGAGATAAAGAGAGAGAGAGAGAGAGAGAGGGAGGGGTGCAGAGATCGATCATAATGTCTACAGTACATGGTATTCATTACAAATTGTTCGATGCACTATTCCCAATACAATCCCCAAACAAATTTTATAATTTACACTGACATTTTGCCGGTATTTTATATGTGAAACTGTGCCTGGCCTCCGAGATTCCCCGCAGATGAAGAGCGCCTCGGAGCAAGGAACTTGAAAGCCAAGTGGAGTGTTACGCACCCCATTGTTATAGTTTAGAACCCACGCATGCCTGATCAGGGGGGGGGGGGGGGGTGTTTCAAAAAGACTAAGATCGACTTTAAGTTGGACTTAACTATGACAGGACATTCATGCCACTTTTTGCTCTTACCATTGGTCTCTCAATTATGATCTTTAGATAATATTTTGTCCTTCAATTATAATGAACTATCAACAATGCAAATTTTGTAGATTTGTGACAATGATTTGTACGTCCCTTGAAAAACCTATGCCAGGAATGGTAAAAGGAACTAGTGGCATGAACGGCCTGCCAAAGTTAAGTCCAACTTGAAGTCTTAGTATTTGTGAAACATCCCCCCTCCCCCCCCCCCCCTCACACACACACACTGTCTATTCGATATAACAATTCAGGACAGGGCAGCGGTTACTCCGCCGGCATGGGGAAGTCCCCTTTTGTTACCCAAACCTCGCACAGACATGCGCACGTAATATATTTTCAACGCAGATTATACGTTGGACCATGAAAAGGCGTTATTCCGTTGTGTTGTACAGGCCAACGTCATGGGAGTTAACGAGAATAATAACATTTTGTGCTTTTCAATGATTAAGCAAACATTTACCGTGCGTATGTCAGTGTGGCATAACTATTATTCGTAGGAAATTCACGTTGTGAGGTTGATAAGTTAACCTATAGGCCTGACTGAGATAATACCTAGATAGATACCTCATTATATTACACTCTTTCAATTACAATCAATATAAAGGAAATGCAAAAGAAAATGATTAAGCGCGCTTCGAATTCCTATTGACCAAAGGGCTCATTGACAAATTAGAACAACTAAAAAACTCTCGAAAAGATTTTCAGTGTGATATACTTACGCCAAGAAGGCACACTTTGATCGACTTCTGTGGCATATTCTCAGCGACAATAATATTCCGTAGACGATCGGGCCAGAGACTGACAGCATTTTCTTTTAGACGCTGAAGTCAAAGTCCAATTAAATTGGGGGATTTCTAAAGCTGCTCCGAAAACGGAACAAAACCTCAAATAAATATTGACCCAGGCCCCTGGGAACGATTTTTTCACCGGGGGTGCTCAGGGTCCTGGGAACGATTTTTTCACCGGAGCCGCTGAGATATTATATATTGCGAAATTTACGCAACGACTCAGCCAGCCGTGTAATAAGCGGGGGGAGGGGGGGGGGGGGGGGGGGGTGGGGGGGGGGGGGGGGGGGGGGGGGGGGGGGGGGGGGGGGGGGGGGGGGGGGGGGGGGGGGGGGGGGGGGGGTGGGGGGGGGGGGGGGGGGGGGGGGGGGGGGGGGGGGGGGGGGGGGTTAAGCGTACACTTTTTTTTTTTTTTTTTTTACGCCAAAAAAATCGCAACGACTCAGCCAGCCGAAATTCGCTCAGTGGGGGGGGGGGGGGGGGGTGTAAGCGTACACTTTTTTTGGGGGGGGGGGGGGGGGCAAAGAAAAATCGCAACGACTCAGCAGCCGTTGAATAAGCGGGGGGGGGGGGGGGGGGGGTAAGAGGAATTTTTTTTTTTTTCGCAAAACATCTCCATAATTTGAAAATTTGGTCGATCGGTATTGGGGTGGGGTAAGATCTGTCATTTTTGGTCACCAATTATCACAATTTCTTTATTTTTATATAAAAAAATTTAAAAAAAAAACGTTTCGAAGAGGTAATTTTATATGATTTTGTGAAAGAAACGTTATAATTTCGTATATATACAGTAAATATATCATACCGAAAAAAATTTGCAGGGGGTGCTATGCCCCCCCCCCTGGAAAAATTCCGGGGGTGCTGCAGCACCCCCAGCACCCCCGCTTCCCAGGGCCATGTATTGACCCTGCGAACTGTTTATGATCGCACTCAGTGATGAGTCGAAATATGAACATTATTTTCTAAGCGGTATAAATTACAAGGCGGAAGGTTCCAAATGTATCTTCAGATTTGTAAACCTGTTTATGTATTCAACACCAACCTTTACTCTACGATCAATAGAGTACCAAAGTATGACATCATATTAGCCAAGTTGTCAAGGTAGTTGTTCAAAACAATTTTGTGCTAAACAATGGCGTGGTGATCACACCAGCTCCAAACAACTTGCCCTGCTCCAGCCCGTTGCTTGAATGATATCACGGTGAAATTAATGCGAAGGCCCTGTTGATATAGGAACCAATAACCGAGACAAGGAGCGAATACGACGTTAGCACTTCTGTTAAATGACAAAATCATCTTTGCTTCATCAAAATCAGTTCAGAGACGGCTGGAATATCCATAAATGTAACAATTTATAATATATGTGTACCACCACAAATATTCGATAATATGAAAAAGCCGTTGAAAAAACGAAATAGCGCCTTTTACGTTGTATTTCAGCCAATGCCGATGTTGGTTTTTGTTTGTTGGCTTTTTGGTTATATTACACACAACCAGTCGGCCCATGTATTGTTATTATTAATTAATCAATTAATTATCGGTCACCGTATTTTTTGAAAATAGAGTTGAATTGTTATGATCGTATTGGCTAAATTTCACACATTTTGGGGTCTAAAATTACCTTCATAGCAATTTTTAGGTCCTAAAAGGGCACTAGAAATGTCATAGATAAGAATAAGAGCAATAACCATGCACTTTGAAGGCATTTGCGGTCTGAAAACAGAACTCAACTATCCCTTTAAATGAACTGGAGCCAACCAACCCTAGACTTGAAAATAAAATGAAAGAGTATTATACCACATACCATACCACCTACCCGAAAAATACCCACTACAGGTTAATGTGATTCCATCATTGAATTAATTAAGTAATTCGTATATGACTACTAAAGGTATTCATTTCTTGTCCTATTGACTCTATTTGTCTTAATCATAATAGCAAAACTTTGCTATTTATACATTTGGCAGTTCATCAGCAATCATGTTAAAACATATTCATTGTTATTATGCGTGCATACATTAAAAATGACTTAAAGACTTCCCCGAGGTTTACAAGGCTTAATAACCCTTGCATTAAACGGTAGATGCCGTCTATATAGATTGCAATGAACTTTAAAGTGAAATAATTGATAGGGGTTCTGCCGTTAAGTTCCAATGAACTGAAATACATTAGATGGCCTAAACTGGTTAATGTTGCAGTATTTTTCCTTCCTCTTTCTCTCTCTCTCTCTCTGTATGTATTGGGATGATGCTCAATCATTAAACGCGCCTACATGCACACACACACACACACACACACACGCACACACAAAAGTCATGTATTTGATTTGATTTGATTTGATTTTCCTCTGCATTCATATAAATACAATGTTTTTCGAGTAGTATATAAAATATAATAAGTATTTTTCTGACAATGAATCATAAATAAGCAATATATATAATAATTTATTTTTTTCAAAAACGAAATGATAAACTAACTGTCAAAAATTCTAAATTTCGTCAAACATTATACAATTTGTCAGCAAATTACTTGAAAATAAGACAGCCTCTAGTCAGGAGGTATCCATTATATTCTATTCGTACAAACTTGAAGTTCAAATGTTTCCGACAACATGTGCAGGGAGAGCATTCCATCGAGTGCGGAATATCGCCCTCCTTCACCCCCTTATGAGTGATCTTAAAAGTGGCGTATTCAGATATTTATAAAAGGTGGGGAATTTTCCCTAGACGTGGGATATGAAAGTAGCCCCCCCCCCCCCCACCTCCTCCGTTCAGAACATCCATTTGTTGACATTTCTAGGGCATTGACAAGACGGAGGCCGGCCCATACGTCGGCTATAAATATTATACTGGATACCAAATACCAAATACCAGACTTAAAGTCACCCATTAATATTAAACGGCGTCATGTTCTAGCTTATAAAGTCAAATGAAATTAATCGAATTTTAACTAAATTTCGACCCCTTTCAGGCCAAAATGATGTGAATACACTGCAACTTTTATTTCAGTACCACAGTTCTGATTAATCAATCATCACTGTCGCCAGAGTAGAATTTCGCAGAACGTCAGTTTAGGAAGTCTAATATGAATATACGGATAATAGCAATGATTTTTTCGTTTTAATTCCATGTAAATCTTAAGCTATGACATCAGATTTTTCTTGATGCATGCAAAGAGTTTGATAAAGTCTGATAATAGCTGTTTGCAAAGAGATTAATCAGTTCAAGGGAAATTTCAATATCCTGTTGTATTGCCTGTATAGAAATCATATTCGGTTGAAGTAATAGGTTCGTCCATTTCAAAAGGCGATGTAAAAGGCTACTGAAATTGCTTTTACGTTGATTTTAGAAAGCCTTTGCGATCATGTTTGATGATGTGATCACTTGCTCTGACATCGACATCGACCGCGATCACCTTCTCTGTTTTCATCGGAATTGGTAGAGTTGGAGACATCGACCGTACTCTGACGATTCTTGCATCTATTTTCTTGTATTGATCTTGTCATTTGACCTGTTTGGAGTAAATGAAATGAAAAGGAATATTCAAGAACATAACTGATTCAATTTCTTTGTGAGATAACGAAAAATTGAGTACATATACAATTTAAATGACAAAATCATCTTTGTTTGATCAAAATCAGTTCACAGACGGCTGAAATATCCACAAATATAACCATTGCTAATATTTTGTGGGGCTTCTCAAAAAGATAATTTTTAACCAGCTGTTGAAAGACAAAACAATGCTTACAGTTTTCAAACGAATATTTTTAAATACTTGTTGATGATCTCTCTATTTAATCATGATTTTAACAAAGCATAACATGCACAATTTTATTATAATGAATGGTTAAAACCAATGACTTTTTAGAGAATGCCCTCATTGTGGTTTAAAGTTTCTCTTTAATTGTTAACAGGCTTATCACTAAGTCGATTGTAATTTTGTTAAATCCCTTTCGAGCATGGTGCAGTAATCAGGCGCGGATCCAGGATTTCTTAGGGGGGGGGGGGCCCAAATTTGAAATTATGCGAGCCAAATATTGGTACGTAACGATGACCAACAGTGACGTAATGCGGAGGGGGGGGGGGTCGGTGCAGAGAGGGGCGAGTTTTCCCCCACCCTCCTCCACGAAACGCGGAAGCTTTGACGTTTCATTAAATTATTAAGATTAAGATTATTAAAATTAAAGAAGACGATTCGTTGTACCGGTCTCGACTCAAAATCTTCGTCTGAATTTAGTTTTTCCGCTCCCGCGCGAAGCGCGAAAAATTTTACGATTTATTAAATTATTAGAGAAAGAAGACGATTCGTTGTAGAGTTCTCGACTCTTAATCCTTGTCGTAATTCAGCCCCCCCCCCCGTCCTGCGCGAAGCGCGGAAGCTTTTACGTTTTATTAAATTATTAGCGAAAGAAGACGATTCATTGTAGAGTTCTCGACTCTTAATCCTTGTCTAAATTCAGCCCCCCTCCCCCTCCTGCGCGAAGCGCGGAAGCTTTGACGCTTCATTAAACTATTAAAGAAAGAAGACGATTCGTTGTACCGTTCTCGACTCTTAATCCGCGTCTGAATTTAGTTTTTCCCCATCCCGCGCAAAGCGCGGAAAATTTTACGTTTTATTAAATTATTAGAGAAAGAAGACGATTCGTTGTAGAGTTCTCGACTCTTAATCCTCGTCTGAATTCAGATTCCCCCTCACGAGAAAGAAGAATTAGAGAAAGAAGACGACTCGTTGTACCGTTCTCGACTCTTAATCCTCATCTGAATTCAGGTCCCCCCCCCCCAAGCTTTTAAGTTTTATAAGATTATGAGAGAAAGAAGACGATTCGTTGTAGAGTTCTCGACTCTTAATCCTCGTCTAAATTCAGTCCCCCCCCCTCCCCCTCCTGCGCGAGGCGCGGAAGCTTTGAAGTTTCATTAAAACTATTAAAGAAATAATACGATTCGTTGTAGAGTTCTCGACTCTTAATCCTCATCTGAATTCAGGTCCCCCCCCCCCAAGCTTTTAAGTTTTATAAGATTATGAGAGAAAGAAGACGATTCGTTGTAGAGTTCTCGACTCTTAATCCTCGTCTGAATTCAGGTTCCCCCCCCCCCCTCCCGCGCAAAGCGCGGAAGCTTTTACGTTTCATTAAATCATTAGAGAAAGAAGACGATTCGTTGTACCTTTCTCGACTCTTAATCCTCGTCTGAATTCAGGTTCCCCCCCCCCCTCCTCCCGCGCGAAGCGCGGAAGCTTTTAAGTTTCATAAGATTATGAGAGAAAGAAGACGATTCGTTGTACCGTTCTCGACTCAAAATCTTCATCTGAATTTAGTTTTTCCCCTCCCGCGCGAAGCGCGGAAGCTTTGACGTTTCATTAAACTATTAAAGAAAGAATACGATTCGTTGTAGGGTTCTCGACTCTTAATCCTCGTCAGAATTCAGGTTCCCCCCTCCCGCGCGAAGCGTGGAAGCTTTTCATTTAATCATTATAGAAAGAAGACGATTCGTTGTAGAGTTCTCGACTCTTAATCCTCGTCTGAATTCAGGTTCCCCCCCCCCTCCCGCGCAAAGCGCGGAAGCTTTTACGTTTCATTAAATCACTAGAGAAAGAAGACGATTCGTTGTACCTTTCTCGACTCTTAATCCTCGTCTGAATTCAGGTTCCCCCCCTCCTCCCGCGCGAAGCGCGGAAGCTTTTAAGTTTCATAAGATTATGAGAGAAAGAAGACGATTCGTTGTACCGTTCTCGACTCAAAATCTTCATCTGAATTTAGTTTTTTCCCCTCCCGCGCGAAGCGCGGAAGCTTTGACGTTTCATTAAACTATTAAAGAAAGAATACGATTCGTTGTAGGGTTCTCGACTCTTAATCCTCGTCAGAATTCAGGTCCCCCCCCCCCTCCCGCGCGAAGCGTGGAAGCTTTTCATTTAATCATTAGAGAAAGAAGACGATTCGTTGTACCGTTCTCGACTCTTAATCCTCCTCTGAATTCAGGTCCCCCCCCCCCCCGCCCCTCCCGCGCGAAGCGCGGAAGCTTTTAAGTTTCATAAGATTATGAGAGAAAGAAGACGATTGGCTGTACAGTTCTCGAATCTTAATCCTCGTCTGAATTCAGGTTCCCCCCCCGCGCGGAAGCTTTTAATTTTCATTAATCAATAGAGAAAAAAGAAGATTCGTTGTACCGTTCTCGAAAATAATCCTCGTCGGAATTTAGTTCCCCCTCCAACTTCGCGCAAAACGCGGAAGCTTTTACGTTTCATTAAAGATTATTATTACCGTTCTCGCCTCTGAATCCTCGTCTGAATTCAGGTTCCCCCCTCCCGCGCAAAAGCTTTGACGTTTCATAAGATTATAAGAGAAAGAAGACGATTCACTGTACCGTTCTCGATTCTTAATCCTTGTCTGAATTCAGTCCCCCCCCCCCCCTCCCCTCCTGCGCGAAGCTTTGACGTTTCATTAAATTATTAGAGAAAGAAGACGATACGTTGTACCGTTCTCTATACTCTTAATCCTTGTCTGAATTTCAAAGATTTTCTTTGCCTGCTCCTTTTACTTTCTACGTCCTCTTCCGATTTGGGGGACCCCCCCCCCCCCCTGGCTGGCTACGCGCCTGCGGTCAGATAATTTTTTGATAACTTGTCCGGCTCCGGAAGCTCAGGGGTTTTAGGCGTTTAATTAAGGTCAGATGATCATTTTTTTTTAATACCTATTATTTTGTGACACTGGCAGGTCACTATTTGGCATGGGGTCCAGGGGGCGGATCCCCCCATAAGCGGGGTTTTAGGCATTAAATTACCGTCAGATGAGCATCTAAGGGCCTGCCGTAGCGCCCTAGGTGGAATCCAGGGGGCAGAGCCCCGGAAGCTTAAGGGTTTTAGGCATTTAATCACGGTCAGATGAGCATATTTTGATGACTCATTTTTTAACACTGGCAGTTAACTATTCGTTCTTTCTTGCGCTCATTCTATTTTTTTTCTCTTTAATATACTTTTTCAAATAAAGTGGGGGGGGGGGAGGGAGCTCGAGGCTCCCGATCCCTGCCGTACCTCGGGCCCTGACATGTAGGAATCTCAAGAATCATATTTCGTGCCTGGCTGTAAATTTAGGAATTTGTCATTTTCCAACAAACAAAATATACAAACGTATAATTTACTAAAAAGTGAGGACAAATCTCGGAAATTATGTCATTTCAGCATTATTTGTAATCCACCGTTGTGGAATTATAAATAAACCACGTTTGAATTTGATTTCCCCAAAGCCCCCCCCCCCCCCCCCATTAGTACGCCAGTATCTCCTCTTTTCCTTTTTCTTTCCCTTTCCTTCCTTCTCTCTTATTTTTTTGATTGGAGGGGGGGGGGGGTCAACAGCCTGGGAGGAAAGGCCCTTTCGGTCCCCCCGATCTCCTTCTTCCCCCTTTTCTTTTATTCTTCTTCTTCTTCTTCTTTCTTTCCCTTTCTCTCCTCTTTCTCATTCCCTTCTTTTCCTTTCTTCTCTCTCTTTTTTTTTTTTTTTTTTTTTTTTTTTTGCGGGGGGGGGGGGGGGCCAAGGCCCGCTCGGCCCCCCCCCCCCCCCCCTGGATCCGCGCCTGGCAGTAATTACTTTTAGTATTCGCAAATGTTTTGTTATTATAGACGTAATTTTTTTCTTCTTCAAAACTAACTAAGTTCTTTAGAATTAAGATTTTTAGGATTCTTAATTAAATCTAAAGATGAGAAGAAGGCAATGATTGCCTTTTGCTCTAGCGGATCCAAGAAAAGGACAGACCCCCCCCCCCCCCTAAAAAAGGGTTACACTCAGGGACCCTCCCTTGGGTTTATATTATGGACTACATTTAATCTTTCCTTCGACTCCCCTGTTTTCTGGAATCCGCCTCTGCCTTGTCGTTTCCCAAATTTGCTTCACGTGAAAGAACAAGACGAGACGAGATCATAATGATTACACTTATATAAAATTATGTAAATTATTGATCAACTGCGCCCCATATTTTCAAGAGTACTGTTGTGAAAATAGCATTCAAACTTTAGCTACTTGCCGTCGATTCGGATAAATGGCATCCCTTTATCGCTCGTGATTAAGTCTGGAAATACATAGAATAGGCGTTAAAAAAAATGGAAATACTTACAGATATCGTAGAAGATTTCGTCGACACCCTGGCCAGTCTTGGCGCTGGAATGAAAGTGAAACACTCCTTTGGTTTGGGCGTAACTCTCTGCCACTTCCCGGTCGACAACACGGGACGATTCGAGGTCTACTTTGTTCCCAATCACATAAATCAAGATTTCCTCAGGACCATCCCTCCTCAGCTCTGAGATCCAGAAATCGACATCTTCGAACGATTTCTAAATATTGTTTGTTATGAAGAAAAATGAAACGTCCTTGACCTTTGCTGCTATTTTTATTTGGGCAGTTGCCCCTCCTCCCCGATGCGATATTGCGTTTGTATTTATGCAGTGTTTGCATACAAAAGTCTTACCCCTCACACCACACAAGAATGTCGATTTTTCATTAAAAGAAATTTAAAAAAAACACGAAGAAGAAGAAGAAGAAGAAAAAAGAGTAAATCGGTTGAAAATTGTTTGTATGGATCGGCGGGGCAACATATTCCCTCCCCGGTGGGATACCACTTAGCTTCAGTCACCCTAAGAGAAAAATCTATATTTTTCTTTTACCTGATTTGTGATGTCATAAACGATGAGTGCGGCGGCTGCAGACCTGTACGTCAGAGGGGCCATTGAACGAAACTGTGTGAGACAAATAAACAGGTGCTAATAACAAAAACTGTATGGAATTATATTTCCTGCTATTCGTGAATCAATAAGAATTATGCCATGTAGATATCTTATGACATTTAGATACACATTATACTCGTTTGTCATCAAACTGGCTGTCTATTGATAAGGAGGCGCCATAGCTTAGTTGTTAGAGCAGTGGTCTCGTAATCTGGTGGCCTGGTTCGATACCATGTCTATGCGCTAGTGCCCTTTGGTAAGGCATTAATCCTCATTACCAGGTCCCTCGGAGTGGACCTGTACACTCTAAAAACTGAAATGTAAAATGTCAATTTAAAAGGGCCGAGGAGTGACCACTCTTTCAAAATGTCAGATTGTTTCTTTTAACATGCTAGATTCAACCTTCATAGTGTTGGATCCAGCATGTTCAAAGTGTTAATCTACCATTTTTAAAGAGTGGTCACTCCTCGGCCCTTTTAAATGGTGATTTAACATTTCAGTTTTTAGAGTGTAGCTTACTAACAAGCAGCGCTCAAATACACGGGGGCGGTGGGCGATTCGCCCCCGTGAGCTACAAAATCGCCCCCGTCAGGTTGCTCACGGGGGCGATTGCAAAATTAAAAATCGCCCCGGTGGAATTATAAAATAAAGATAATCTTTTCTGTTATAATTTTAACACAATATTGAGTTTCAATTTTCAAACCTTAAACCAAAGAAATGGAACTAAGATTAGCGTGCAAGATTTCTCGTTTTATGAGTAGGCCTATTATTACCGATTCAGCTCGCAGTGCAGTGCCGCCGTCAGCAGTGGTTATAGGCCTACTGCGCCGTTAGTAGCGGTGCGTGTGCACGCTGCCGCGCCATGTCTGCTGGAGCTGGAGGCGATCGGGCAAGGGCAGAAACATGGTCATGGCCTGGAGATGTTTTTCGTTGTCAGCAAATAATGAACCTCGACAAGTAAATCAATATTAGGGACTTTTAGATTTGCACGATGAGAACGTGGACTGCAACGTGTGACCTCCTTTTTAAGGCACTGCCAGTGCTTAAAAGGACGTCACATGTGATTGCCAGTGCCTTAAAAGGACGTAACACGTCCACGTCCCCTAAAAAAAATTGAGGGGAGGACGTGTCCCCCCCCCCCCCCCCCCCCCCCGGGATCGCCGCCCCTGCGTGGAATGATATGGTATCATGGGCAGATCTACGGCGGGCGGGGGGGGGGTAGGGGTTTAACCCCCTCCTCCCACCCCCCCCCCCACCCCCGGCCCCCTTGGGCTGCCAAGTGAAAATGTGATATTAAAGCGGGGGGGGGAGGGGGATTCTGGAGAGGAGGACTACTAATCTATTTTATTTTTTTCAGGGGGCGGGGGGAAGTGAAGCGCCGTTTGAGCATGACTTTCTTTTTAACTCTTACTTTCACCTATCTCAGATAACCCTAAGTTTTTGGTTGCTGCTTTATATGTAGTTGATAATGCATGACTAAAATAAATAAAGAGAGAGAGAGAGAGAGAGAGAACCACCATCATTTTGCAATGGTTCAGGGTTCGTGTAATGTACATTTGAAACCATTTCTTAGCGTCTCAACCCTAAAAAATAGCAAAACTATTTTTGAGGAAAAGCATTATACTAAATTAAATAAAGAATAATAGCTTTATATTGGATCATACTAATACTGACACGGGCTAAAGACAATGTGGTATTTGTATAGAGGTATTCCAAAATGACATTCTGATAATCAACATTTGTTCTGGTATCATATGTATATACGCATAATACAACTGATCTTTATGATTTCTTAACGTGACATAGCTTCTTCTCCCTCTGCAAACAAAACAGAAAACAAGGTTATTTAATAAAAGGACCATGCGACAAATAATCATTGTGATTCAAATTGATGCAAGGATTTTTTTTGAATAAGCAATGCTTTTCACCAGAATCTTCTTTGTAAAAAAACGACTTTTACAAATCTCAGCCATGCAATTCTGCCACTGTGCTGTAAGATCACTTTGAGATTAGGAAAAGTGTATTATGTAATGGGTATTTTAAATTGAATGAAACGTCTCAACTCAATAAGCATGGCTGAGATTTGTAAAAGTTGTTTTTACAAAGAAGATTCGGGTGAATAGCAGTGCTTATTCAAACAAATATTCGCATCAATTTGAATCACAATCATTATTTGTCGCTTAATCCCTTTTAATGACCATGTTTTCTTTTACGTTTGCAAGGGGAGAAGAAGATATGTCACGTTAAAGACATCATAAAGATCAATGTTGTATGCGTATATATTATATACACAGGCCAGTAACAGCTATGTAGCTTGTAAATTTGTAAGAGGGAAAATGCTGATTGAAATGATAATGCTGAAATAGCAAATAATTGAGGAGCATCATAGGTACCAATTCAATGGATATTTGTAAAAAAAAGAGCCCCCGTCAGTAATAAAAGAGCCCCCGTGAGAAGGCTCACGGGGGCTCTTTTTTCGGGGGAAGAGCCCCCGTGGACAAAAAATTAATTTGAGCCCTGCTAACAAGCGTTTATGCTTCCCTAGCAGTCAGGTTAAATAACCGCCAACATATATATTAATTCTAATTCTTAATAATTACAAAGTTATATACAAATGATGCCATATATTTAGAGAATAATAGTCGCCCCATTATGAAAGAGGGATCATTTCTTTTATTGTTTGCTGTTATGGAACAGAATTTCATTTAGTGAACAACGACAAAACATGATATGAAAATCAAATGATTTTACACCTATGATTTCCGATAAAGCGGACAATTTTTTTCTTTTCCTCAATAAATCTTCAAGAGAAAATCATAGTTACCCTTTCTTGTCCCGCCGTATCCCATAATGCAAAACTATATTCGATGTTCTGAAAGAAGAGTGATCTTGACAAGAAGGCGGCGCTATCATGGGAGAGGAGAGAGAGAGAGATGATGAGAGGGGAGGAAGAGGAACGAAGTTGAAAAGAGGAGAGAGAGAGAGAGAGAGAGAAAGAGGGGTGAGAGTGAGACGCAGAGAAAGAGAGAGAGATCAGAGTAAGAGGGAGAGAGAAGAAATATAATATATAGAGAGAAGAAGAAATAGAAGATGAGAGAGACATAAAGAGAGCGGGAGGGAGAGGGAGAGTAAGTCAGAAAAGTTTTATGACCAAAACAACATGCGAACTACCAAAAAATAGCTAATTAGCGAATGTCAGTTTCAGTAAGGACTAGACTAATTTCATATGCATAGGAAGAAAATACAGAGTATTGTATTCATAATTAAAAGACTAATGCATGAAATGACAGTCGTGTCCTTGAAAAGAAGGATGTAAAAGGTACATTGTTCTGATAGTTATGAAACCAAAAATTACGGTATAGACATTATAACAAGTTTATGAAAATTTGATTGTGTGCAACCCCTATGATATTTGTTAGCCCCAGACTCAAGAGAAACGTCTCACATCTATTTATACACTGTTAGAAAAAAATTAAACAAGTTGTTTAAAATTTTAAACAACCCCGAGTTAACCGGTGAATCGCTCAACGTTGTTTAAAAATTAAACAAATTAAGGTTGTTTACATTTTGAACACTTAGTTGTTTAAAAATTAGGAAACCTTTTAAACAACAGTTGTTTAGTAATAAAATTGCACAACTCGGTTGTTTAACGCAAGTTGTTTAAATTTTAAAGCAACTGTTGTTTATTCAGTATTACTGCACAACTGGGTTGTTTAAAAGGAGTTGCTTAAATTTTAAACAGAACTGTTTAATGGTTATTATCTGGTTGTTTGAATTTGTGAAATGACCTACTGCAACCACTCCTGCAATAATCACAACGATTTATACACTGTAACATGCAGAGCTTGTTGCCAATTTACTTCAACATTTGTTCATCATATTCATGGCAGTGACAGACAACATTATTATTTGTCTCTATAACTTCACCTAAACCCCATCGGCGAAGCCGAGAAGAACCAAGTCGTCGCCTTGCCCCGTGTTCCGCCATTTTCGTCTGCACTGCACTGCACTAGCACTTGCACTGCACACTAGCAGTAGCACTGCATGCTTGCATGCATGTATTATGTACGTTCTTTGTGCATATCGCATGTGTGTGCGCAAATTGCAATCGCGTATCGAGAAAATATCAACGACGCCCCGGGACTTTTTAAACAACTCTGTTTAATTAAATTATTTTGTTTTTTAATACATAGTTGTTTAAGCCAATCGAGCACTGATTTTTCGATTTTGAACAACGTTGTTTACTTTTTTAAACAACATTCTTTTAAACAGTGATATTTTAAACACCGTTCTAACAGTGTATCCAGAATGGTACGAGTCGGACTTTGCTATTCATATTACTGTTCTAGACTTACTTCCTTCTAATTAGTTTCATAAAGACATTACTATAATTTCAATAAAGCCAAGAAAAACCTTATTGAGATTAAAGATTACGCTTTAAAACATATTGGCCATTCAACCAATGTTTAAGGCGGTATTTGGTACAGACATGTACAACAACGAAATTCTCGTTGAAAAGAAAAAAACATATATATTTTGACTAGACTCCTGCCGTAGGAAATTGTTGTAATATGATACATTGTATAATAATAAATTAGCGGTATTGTGTATTCTGTATTGTGAAAGTGGTCAGGAGGGTAGAAGCTTACCCGATAGTGCTGAAGTATTCCTCATTAAACTTTCCTTTGACGAATCGCGTGGTTATACAGGTTTTCCCTACACAGAGACTCTATAATAAATGACATGAAAGTAAACACACATCATCATCATGATTGTGGGAAGGAAGGGTAGGGCTCCAAGAATCTTTGAGAAAGGGAAATGTGGAGCGACACGGCAGTATATAGGCGTCTTGAAGAGAGAGAGAGAGAGAGAGAGAGAGAGAGAGAGGGGGGGGGGTACAGAGATCGATCATAATGTCTACAGTACATGGTATTCATTACAAATTGTTCGATGCACTATTCCCAATACAATCCCCAAACAAATTTTATAATTTACACTGACATTTTGCCGGTATTTTGAATGTGAAACTGTGCCTGGCCTCCAAGATTCCCCGCAGATGAAGAGCGCCTCGGAGCAAGGAACTTGAAAGCCAAGTGGAGTGTTACGCATCCCATTGTTACAGTTTAGAACTCACGCATGCCTGATCAGGGGGGGGGGGGGTGTTTCAAAAAGACTAAGATCGACTTTAAGTTGGACTTAACTATGACAGGCCATTCATGCCACTTGTTGCTCTTACCATTGGTCTCTCAATTATGATCTTTAGATAATATTTTGTCCTTCAATTATAATGAACTATCAACAATGCAAATGTTGTAGATTTGTGACAATGATTTGTACGTCCCTTGAGAAACCAATGCCAGGAAAGGTAAGAGGAACTAATCATGTAGTGGCATGAACAGCCTGCCTTAGTTAATTCCGACTTAAATTCGATCTTAGTGAAACACCTCCCCCCCCCCCCCCCCCCACACACACACACACACTACCCGGCAGGAATGAGGAAGTCCCCTTTTGTTACCCAAACCTCGCACAGACATGCGCACGTAATGATGTCAAGTGAATTATATTTTCAACGCAGATGATACGTAGGACCGTGAAATGTCTTATATACCGTTGTGTTTTACAAACCAACGTCATGGCAGGAAATGAGAGCAATAACATTTTGTGCTTTTTAATGATTAAGCAAGCATGTACCATGCGTATGTCAGTGAGGCATAACTATTATTCGTAGGAAATTCACGTTATGAGGTTGATAAGATAATCTATATGCCTGACTGAGATAATACCTAAATACCTCATTTGATTACACTCTTTCAATTACAATCAATATCAAGGAAATGCAAAAGAAAAATGATAAAGCACGCTTCGAATTCCTGTTGACCAAATATAGCAACTAAAACACTCTCGAAAAGATTGTCTGTGTGATATACTTACGCCAAGAAGGCACACTTTAATCGACTTCTGTGGCATATTCTCAGCGACAATAATATTCCGTGGGCGATCGGACCAGAGACTGACAGCGTTTTCTTTCAGACGCTGAAGTCAAAGTCCAATTAAATTGGGGGATTTTTAAAGCTGCACCGAAAACGGAACAAAACCTCAAATAAATATTGATCCTGCGAACTGTGTATGATCGCACTCAGTGATGGGTCGAAATATGAACATTATTTTCCAAGCAGTATAAATTACAAGGCGAAAATTACTAAAAGGTTCCAAATTCTTCAGATTTGTAAACCTGTTTATGTACTTAAAACCAACCTTTACTCTCCGATCAATAGAGTACCGAAGTATGACGTCATATTAGCTAAGTTGTCAAGGTAGCTGGTTCCAAACAATTTAGTGCTAAACAATGACGTGGTGATCACCAGGCACGTAGCCAGAGTTTGATGTTTGGGGGCATATACATGTAATTGATCGACGTCCTGGGGAGGGTCTAAAAAGTTCAACCGATCCTGGAAATTCTTTTGGGGGCATGTGCCCCCCCCCCCCCCCCGTGGCTCCGTGCCTGGTGATCACACCAGCGCCAAACATTGAATTTTTCCTGCTCCAGCCTGTTGCTTGAATGATATCGCGGTGAAATTCATGCGAAGTCCCTGAGCCAATAGCCGAGACGAGGAGCGAATACGACGTTAGCACTTCGGTACTCTATCCAGCAAGATGTTGAGGATATGGCTGGTACAGCTGTAAGTTCAAGGTAGATATCATGGATGGGAAAGGGCGAATTACCCCCCCCCCCCCACGAAATGTTCTAGCCATCTGTGAATGAACGCGTACCCATCTTTTTAGGTTATTTCTGGCAGTTTTAAAAAAAAATGCACGAATACACGTTGATTGTTGTTGTTGAGATTGATGGCGTTTCCCTCGTCATTGGATGGTTTTCGCCATAATAAAAATTGATGATGAGTAGAGATTATTTATATTGTCGGGTAGCCTGTGTGGCTAAGGCAAGGCGCCACTCTAACCTGCAGAGAGCGAGAAACATACATCTTTACTACATGCTTGACTGTGGGGGAACTGCCTGGGATTATGCATGCTAGCTTGCAACCTCAGGTTTCTTTTTGCATATCTATAGCTACATGTTCATTTGCATCTCAACTGTAAACAATAAATACATATTAATAATAAATAATATGGATATTTATATAGCGCCGGTATCCGCCAGGCTCTGATGCTCATGGAGCTTTACACATATTACCCTGGTTGTAGCCGAGCTGCCAAAGTAATTAGAGCTCAAGCATATCTGGTACCCATTTACACCTGGATGGAGAGTGGAAAATGGAGATCGATGTCTTGCCAAAGGATTAGTGCCGCGGCGAGACTCGAACCGCGGACCTTTAGAGCTTGTATAATGAAAGAAAGTACATATCTAGGGTTCAGTGACACAAAGACGTAACTCCATATTTTGCCAAAATGAGTATTTGATATCAAAATGTTTAGAAAAATGTGGGCTTTCCAAGAAACACAAAGACTTAACTCCACCCAACACCCCGTTGAAGTCAATGGCTAGTGAAACATAGACTTAACTCCTTGAGGCCCAAGTGCTCAGTGACACATTACCACTTTTTCTCAAAATGGCCAAAATGGATTTACGTCTTTGTGTCACTGACCCCTCGATATATATATATATATATATATATATATATATATATATATATATACATATATTTCTGTCATGTAAAGGAGGTGATTTAAACATTTAATAAGGGTTTAACCAATATCAAACTGGAAAGAACAAGTCTACTGAACCACAGTTAGGTGGATGAAATGGGAAAGCTTAATGTAAAAGGGTCTTTTATCTTCTTGCCATTTCACATTCCCTCTCGCTTCTCTTTCACTTCTCCTCCTCCGTCTTCTCTCTTTCTCTCTCTCCCTCTCTCTCTCTCTGTGAGTCTTTTTCATTGTTTTACTTTTCGAAGACCCCCCCCCCCCCGATCGTGCCCGGTATCTACATCACAGTCCATCTTTGGATTTATTCTTGTCAATTATGAACCCATACCATATTGCATTCTAAAAAATGAAATACGAAATAAAAATGTCATCATTTTTAATTATCATGAATACGTTTTTTATTGGATTTACAAGTCTCCATTGTCAAAAATATTCTTTGACAGAGATACATCATTGATACAGAAAGGTACAAAGAGTTCGGTTAAGCATGCGATCAATTACATTGAAATCATTAATGGATGTATATAGGCCTATATATTTACCACCAGATAGTGTTACTTCCACAAACATCACACTATACGTATAGGTCTTGATTATTAGTTTTAAAAAAAACATATGCAACTTATTTAGATGAATAGACATATGCTGTACCACAGGCCTTATGAGCAACGTACTAATCAGAAGCATGCTTGATAAAAATCACGTGATGGATGAGGGAGGGGCAACCAAACTTGCCTCTGGCTCCACATGCATTCTATATTTGGTTACTTAGAAAGGGAAGAAAAGGGTTGTAAAGTGGTGGATTTTTCCCTGGAACACCCAAGTAATGTTTACCTTTTAAAACTTGCAAAATATGAACAATAGCTTCACCAAATATTTTACAAAATGTGCTGAAACAGCGGACTCTCTCCGAAAACTATGGTGGGGGCCAATATGGTCCACTGCATCTCAGAATCAATGAATGATTACAAAACAGGCGATACAAAGAACAAGCATACCAACAAGCAATAAAAGCAACAAAAAAAAAGAAGGAGACGAGTATCCATATCTTCTACTTTTAAAGGCTTGAAGCCCATTATCTGAAATGTTTTCAACAACATGAACAGAGAAAGAGAGAGAGAGAGAGAGAGAGCGTTCCATAATAGTATAGTATTAATGACTGTTTTGAGAGAAATAGTTGTTTTTATACGCTCTCGGGAAGGTTACAATTGGGCTATTGCCCTCGGCATTTCTCGAATAAGCAGTCATTAAAGGTATTACAAAGTTTTGGGAAATATTGAAAAATGGGTGGATAGTGATTCTTTACAATTTTGATATATTTGGATGCCCCTGTGGATGTATTAAGACACCAGAAATTTAAGCCCCTAAAACATTTCTGCTTTCGTGAAAAATTGAATATAAAGATTCCCCGGTGCTCCCGGTAAATTTTGATGAATTTCAAATGGGTCCTACGGCCGTACAATGGTAGCTGCGACCATGCAAATCACAGAGTATGTAGTTGTGGTATATAATTTCGGAACGAGAATAGCTAATCGGTCGATTTTAGTCAATAGACATTGTTTTATAGCTTAATTAATATCTTGACCTTGAGAGGGAGCTATTCAACATGAAGTGTTTATTATTTACAATTTCATAACTTTAGAGTCGATTTCGACCGCGACAACGATCACTGAATATTGTAGGATCGTATATGCTTCCAATATGTTCATTTGAACCAAATTCATGACCCCATACCAAAACTTTGTATTACCTTTAATATGTCGGGATGTGAAAGTTTTAGATCAAGGTCTTTAAAGAGAGACTAAAGTTAGGAATGCGAGGTACTGAAGGAATGCTAACGTATGGGGAGTGGTTAATCACCTGTTAGGACCGTATCACTGAAGGAGTCTTTAGTAGTAATGTCCTTACTCGATGTTAAATTAGTTAATTGATATGAACGGAGATACATGTGGAATTAACGCTTCAAAAAATCTTAGCGGAAGGATTTTATGTTACGCCTTGAGTGTAAGCTACTCTCGAGCGTGGGTTTTCTAATACGTGCTCATTGCCATCTAAAGCTATGCTGAGGGAACGGTGTGCAGTCACCAGTCGGCTGAGAAAGTTTAATTGTAAGTTGCATTACTTTGTATCATAGGTTGAAATTACATTGGTAATATGAATTATACATCATGTTGCATGTGGGTGAAGTTTTGAGAAGATTTATATGCACAGTTTGATATATATTTTAGTGACAAAATAATGTTGGTTCATTCATGTTTTCAGTGCGACCATGTTTATTTGGTATCGTAGAGGGCTCTCTGAATGTAAGCATAAAAGATGGCGGCGCCCACTAGCCGTACTTTGTTAGGTGTAATCAAGGGTTGTTAAAAAGGAAGCTTTAACACTGATTGAAGTTAGTATAATAATATAAATTGATTGTAAGCTTAATCGATATATTAAGTGAGATGATTATTTAGTTGATGGTCTTGTAAATGCAGGCATAGTGGAGCTTTTGGAGTGATTTACTTACAAAATGTAATTGTTGTTTTATCCTCAGTGAGTCTACATTGAACGAATATCTGTAGCTGAAAGCCGACTGGTTTTTGCTAGTTCTTCAAGTGACCTTGGGAACGAGTCAATTTATTATGTAATATGATATTTAATTAAGGGTAAATGAAAACACTTAGGAATGATTGTATGGTTTGTATTTGAATACCGACAAAGTTAACGTGGTTCGGTTTAATACTGATATTGCTGATATGATACTGATAGGGTGATGAATGATAGTGAATCTATTGGTAATGTAAATATTCTCCTTATGCCTTGAGAATCTGTTACTGTTTAGGGAGGTTATTATTCAAGATACATTTCTGGGATGAGTGTTTTTTCTAGTAGTTAGCAGTTGCTATGTGTTATTAATATTTGATAGCAATGGTTTGATAGTATTGATTCGATGATGGCATCATCTGTAAATGTGGCTTTTAATGGAAAGTTCTATAAACACAAAAGGATTTCTATGGATATTGGAAATATGTTTAATGGTTATTATAATGACCTAGGTAGGTCATATTGCTAGGCATCCTTTGTTAAGATTGAAGACTGATACAATTAGGATACTGGTAATTATTGAAGCTTGGATGCATTTGATAGTGAAAGTATTGAGCTCTTTAATACTTCTGATTTCTGTGGGTTAAATTTGCATTAGTTGCAAGGGACAATGTTTTGCTGAAACAATGTTATACATGTTTATCTAGTGTCTGATGATGATGTATATATCATATCATTTGCAATGATATGTTCATTTTGTTTCTGTTTGTTCTTTGCAGGGTTTCTTATTTCTTTGCTTTATTGCTTCGCAATAAAAGTAATTGAACTTCAGATATCTGTCACGACTCCTTCATTTGAGTAACCCGAGTTACTAATCCTACTCATCCCGGTGGAGCTCACCCCTCCCCACCCCCGACAAATACTTTTATATGCACTCTTATTTCCACGGAGTCAAAAATGGCGTCAGCTGGGAGTCAACTCTATTCCGAGTTAAA